CACAGCCCTCAGTCCCAAACTGTCTCTGCAGGTCACCCTAGGATGTGCTGGGCAGAGCAGAATTGCGGCCCTTTAGGTAAACCCTGGTGAGGTTTTTAGGTGGGCACAGCTCTGCTGTGAGGGACTGAGTGACTGTGAGTCTCTCTTGCAGCAGGATGGATCTCCCTCCTCCATCTGTGAGCTGGAGCTTTGTTTTACACTGAAATCTGCTGGTTGTAGGCTGGGGTTTTTTTTGAGTGCCTGTGGAAAGCATGTGTGGTTTACACTGGAGTCTGGAGGAGAAGTATCTGCGCCTTTCGACTTGAGTGGGTTTTCTTTGCAAGTCTAATGAGCTTTTTTGCTCCTCAGAAATCAATCCACTGGTTTCCCCCTTTTCTTTCCTAGCAGACCAATTAGTAAAGGTGGTCATAACACACAGCGTGGCTCCCGTTTTCGGTGTCTCTTCCTTAAATATCCAAGGAAAGGGAGCACCGGGGGATACCTTCTGTGCAGCTAAAAGGATTATTGCTGCAGTTGGGCTAATTATTTCCATCTTTGCAGCCTCTCCACTCTACCTGCCCTGACCTCTCTGCCTTCCATCCGTGCTGCCCTCCAGAGCAGTGGGGTTGTCCCACCCCGGGCAGGGCTTTGTCCCCAGGTGTGTTTGGACAATGCCCTCAGGCACAGGGTGGGACTGCGGGGGTCGGTGATCGCTGTGGTCCCTTTCAGCCGGGGATATTCCGTGGTCCTGCGATCCCCAGCTCCGGGGTGATGCTGGTGAGGTGCAGTCCGAAGGGGCAGGAAAGGCTGTGTTAACTCTTGACGCTTCAAGAGAGGCGATGAAACCACTTGTACTGAGGGGTTTGAAGAGCACGTGTGGGACTTGAAGGGCTTTCTGCCACTTATCAGCTGCACTTTGTGGCTCCCCCCCAGCCCCTGCCCCGGGCTGTCTGCCTGGAAGTGCCAGATGTAATTTCAGATGGGTTTCATCAGCGGCTCGAGTCAGTTGCCGCAGAATGAAATTCCATGAGGTGTTTGTAAATGACTCGAAACATCCAAAGAAGCCTCTCCTGTGACTCCGGAGGACATCCAGCTCAGCCTGTTTGGGGAGGGCTGGAGATTCGCTTCTGGGATAAACCAACTGTTTTTCTGTGCCCTGCAAAGCCGCCTTTGCGCTTCTGAAGCTGAAATTGGCACAAGGAGGGGAGGTGTTCAGAGTGGTTAAATTGTTCCCTGTCCTAGGAAACATTTTATCTTTTCTTTGATTAAAGGTTCCTTGAATCCTGGCTGTGTCGGCTCGGTCTCAGTGTGGAGCGTGCGTGGTGCTCAGAAACCAGCTCTGCTCCTTCTCTGTGAAAGGAAATGTCGCTTCACCTGGGCTTCCTGGGGCAGGGCCACATCTGGCCAGCTGTTCTCAGCCAAACCCCGGGCACACCAGGGCTGTCACACTCAAATCGAGAGGCCAAGTGATGGGCAAGCAAGGCTTGTCCTGCCTGGTTGCAGTGGATGTCAGAATGAGCCTCGGGCAGGGGGAGCAGGGGCTGTTCCTGCTCTGTGTGTGTTAGCTGGAGACCACGGGATGACAGGAGAGAGGAGACTGTCCCCAGAGAAGGGATAATCTGCAGGGATTCCTTCCTGGAGGTTGGTCTGTGTTTGTGCCCACTCAGGGTTATGTGAGGAGCCTTTGAATAAAAATGACATTTATATCTGGAGCTGTATTTGACTTTGGCGTGGTCAGAAGAGAAGGAAATGTAAGATTTGGAAATGTGGCTCGTGCTGACCCACCTTGTACAAAGTGCTGACTCCTCCCTGCAGGAGCCAGTGCTTCATTACCCTCCTCAGATCCAGCCTGTGATGGGGTGAGAGTGGCTGGGGTTGAGTTACCTGTGGGCTTTAAGGTGAGAGGAAACTGGGTGATGTGGCAGAACTGGAGCTCCTCCTGCTCTCTGCTGGTAGCTGTAGTTTGTGGTGTCAGTGAGCCCAAAGCTGGGATTTAATCCAAAGTCAGAATTGCCTTTTGTGGTTGGTTTTTCAGCTCCCACTGACTCTCAATTCAAGGGCAGATTCCACCCTGAGCAAATTCTGCCCTCTGAAGTTACTGCTTATGTGTGGTTTTACCTCCTGCCTCATCAGCATGACAAAGGGTGCTGCCTGGAGCTGCCTGGAGGGATTTGTACAAGAAGCTTTTAACAATGGACGTCTCCAAATTGGACAGAAAACTACACGGTTTCCCCTCAGCATTTCCCGGTGTAATAATGGAGAGCCTGGCAGGCGTGAATAGGCAGAAGTAATAAACGTTGCTGTTGGGAGGGAAGAGGAAAGCAGGTAAAATCTGTTCAAACTATGGCATGGCTTGGGGTCACTGCCTGGGAGAACAGATTTAGAGAGGATGGGACCAGAATGAGGGTATTGAGACCAAAATGAGGGTATTGGGACCAAAATGAGGGTATTGGGACCAAAATGGGGATATTGGGACCAAAATGGGGATATTGGGACCAAAATGGGGATATTGGAACCAAAATGGGGATATTGGGACCAAAATGAGGGTATTGGGACTAAAATGGGGATATTGGGACCAAAATGAGGGTATTGGGACTAAAATGGGGATATTGGGACCAAAATGGGGATATTGGGACCAAAATGAGGACGTTGGACAAAGGGAGTGACTCTGGGGTGTGTGGAGCCCTGCAGGGTTCTGGTGGTGGGTGGGTGATCCAAAAAGAGCAGCTGAGAGCAGGAGGGGTCCGTGGGGCTCCCTGGTTTTGTTCTCATCCTGAGCAGCATCTTGGGCACACCTGGGCCTGCTGTCCTGTCTGCTCTGCTTGCTCATCCATCTCTCCCGTCCCTGCCCTCTCACCCTTCCATATTAAACCCTGCCTGGCAGCCCCAGGCTGGTGCTTGCCTGAGAGCAAGGTGGGGGGCTCAGCACCCTGCAGGATGTGGAATTCCAGCATTGGGAATTGCTGAGCTGCATCTTTGTTTCATGGCTTTGGAGCTTACTTTGCATGAGCGCTGCTTTTCCCCCCATGTCAGTGGTAGCTGGATCACTTTGCCAGCTCCTCCCTTCCCCCAGGTTCCTCCAGGCAGGAGGTGAAGAATGAATGCTCTTTAATGTGAAGGCACTTATTAATGCTTAATCTCTCAAATATGTCACTGCTTTTGTGTCTAATAGCAGGGCTTATTGTCAGGGCTGCCTGAGGCCCGTGCTCAGCTCCAGAGCAGGTTTCCTTAGCCACTGCTGCTCCCCTTAGCAGAGGAGTTTTGGACTTTTGGGCTTGTTTGCTCTCTCAGCATCCAGGAGCATCTCCTTGTTTTCTTAAAGGGAAAAATCGTGCTTAGGGGTTGTGGTGTTGGTGTCCAGGTGAGCAGCAGCACCTTCTCAGTGCTGGGGGGAGCACCAGGCTCGGGAGGGAGCTGGGCGGGTGTAAAGTGACTTTTTGAGTAAGGATCGCCTGGCACTGGAGTGCTGCAGCCAGGAAAAATAAAAGCTGTGAATGCTTCTCCTCAGCAAAGGGGCAGTGGTGTGAGGTGGGTGAAGCTTTTGGCTCGGTGGGGAGAGCAGAAGGCTCCTGCCTCCCTCGATAAGGGATGACAAAGCCGCGGCTTTAGGTGTGGTCAGAGCCTCTCCAAACAGGCTGGCTCCATTCATCCACGATAAAAACAAGCAGTGCTGACACACACCAGCGGCCCTGCATCTTCCAGCCTTTGTTTTAGTGATTGAGAGAGAGCCTGTGACCCCGGGGAACATGAATGGAGCCCTGGTAAGCCGGGAGCAGGAGTGAGATTATTTTGGGGCAGAAGTGAGGCTGGGAGGCAGGCGGCCCCTTTGTACATGGCACACATGTGACAGCAGAGCTGCATTTAGAGCTGAAAGAGGATAAAATCCCCGAGGAGGCTGATTGCACCTCGTTTATTTTTAACTAATGTACTGGGGGAGATTGAGCTGGAATTCCGAGACTTGGGGCAGGCTTAAATTCGGACAATTTCCCTCATCCCTGTGAGGAGAAAGATTGGCACCAACTGGGCTAATTCCTGGGGAAGATGAAATGCACGTGGATTATGGATTTTTTTTTAAACTTTCTCCTCCTTTAGCCTTTGGGTTAGGAGGGGAAATAATGGTTTTACAACTCTTAGGCTGAATTTATGGTCCGTGTTCCCATGTGGACTGTCACTTAGTCACACTGCCTGCATCTGCTTGTGCTGCGAATCTGCTCATCGGCCCCATAAAACTAAAATCAAGACAAGACAGATTGCTGCTTGATTGTCATCCCAAGTGGCCCAAACTGGGCAAAGACCAGCTGGGGAGAGACATCCAAGAGCTCAGTAGGGATGTTTTGGTATAAAGGTTTTTATTTGCTGTTCATCCTTACTGTAAAATCCTCATTTGTCTTGTGCCTCAGCACAAACTGTGCTCCCTTGTTAGGGGAAATAAAGGTACAAATGCAGCTACTGTCGGGTTTTTGTGTTAGAAGGAAGAGCTCTGGCTCTCAGATTCTGTGACACTGTGCAGGGTGTGGGGAGCCACAGCCATCTCTCATTAAAGTCCCTTGCTGTTGGTGTCATGCAAAGCATGAGCAGAAACAGGCACTGGTGCCTTGTTGATCCTTGTGGGATCAACAACTTCTGGGAGCAGGGCTGGAGCTCCCGGGTGTTCAGGGGGTGTGAACCTGTTGGGGTCCCCACCTGCTCCCCCTGGGCTGGCGTGTCCCAGTCCCTCCCCTCCCTGTCAGGAAATTAAGGATTCTCTCACCCCTACGCTCAGCTCTCCTGCTGATGTTTGTTTGTTTTCTCTCTCGAGCTTTTCCAGATTAGGCTTTCCCCCCCCCCCCCACACTGTGTTTATCTTCTTACTGACCTGATACAGATTTAATAAAAAAATGGAGCTTTTCGTTTTAGTAAATACAGTTGTGAACATTTCGGGGAACAGTGTTTTTTCTGCTGTTATGCAACAACATAAAAGCAAAACAGAGACACTTGATGAATGTCCCATTGTTTGTTGTCTTTTGGCATTAAAGAATGAAAGATGATGTTCAGGAAACACACTGTGACTTTTGACCTCATCTGAAGAGCCTCTGAGTCATGAAAAACAAAAATAATTCAGCAGAGCCAGACAGAAACTAAAACAGGCGTGACAGAGCCTGCTCTGGTGGCATGGTGGCTGCTGGGGTGAGGACAGGTCCTGCTGGAGCCCTGAAAACTGGTGAGATCTGACGTGTTTGTTGCTTTCTAGGCTAAGGAACCAGTGTGTCGAGAATGCCTGAGCCTTCCCTCTGTATTTATAGAGTGTCCTGGTGAGCTCCTGCTGCATTCCAGCTCTGCCAGTCACCCCTGGGGAGCTGGAGCTGGGCACGGGGGCCAGGGACTGGCTGGTGCCCAGTTTGGGGTGTCAAGTGGCTGGAAGTGATGGCTTGGTGAAATGAGCACGGTGTGTGGAGTGAAGGGGAGACTGGTGCTGTCCTGCAGGGGGGAGCTGGGCTGTTTCAGGCTGGGAATGCTCGTTCCAGCTCTGCTGCTGGACACCCTGTCCTTCCCCTCTGCTCCCCTGGGAGGTGTTTCTGCCACTGCACCCTGGAACCCACTGCTGCAATCGGGATGGGATCCTCCAGGGGGAAAGCAGGGATGGGATCCTGCAGGGGGAAGGCAGGGATGGGATCCTGCAGGGGAAATGAGGAATGGGATCCTGCAGGGGGAAGGCAGGGATGGGATCCTGCAGGAGAATGGCAGGGATGGGATCCTGCAGGGGGAAAGCAGGGATGGGATCCTGCAGGGGAAAAGCAGGGATGGGATCCTGCAGGGGAAATGAGGAATGGGATCCTGCAGGGGGAAGGCAGGGATGGGATCCTGCAGGAGAATGGCAGGGATGGGATCCTGCAGGGGGAAAGCAGGGATGGGATCCTGCAGGAAGAAGGCAGGGATGGGATCCTGCAGGGGAAAGGAGGGATTGGATCCTGCAGGAAGAAGGCAGGGATGGGATCCTGCAGGGGGAAAGCAGGGATGGGATCCTGCAGGGGGAAAGCAGGAATGGGATCCTGCAGGGGGAAAGCAGGGATGGGATCCTGCAGGGGAAAAGCAGGGATGGGATCCTGCAGGGGAAATGAGGAATGGGATCCTGCAGGAGGAAAGCAGGGATGGGACCCTGCAGGAGGAAAGCAGGGATGGGATCCTGCAGGAGGAAAGGAAGGATGGGATCCTGCAGGGGGAAAGCAGGGATGGGATCCTGGAGGAGGAAAGCAGGGATGGGATCCTACAGGGGAAATGAGGAATGGGATCCTGCAGGGGAAAGGAGGGATTGGATCCTGCAGGAAGAAGGCAGGGATGGGATCCTGCAGGAGGAAAGCAGGGATGGGATCCTGCAGGAGAATGGCAGGGATGGGATCCTGCAGGGGGAAAGCAGGGATAGGATCCTGCAGGAGGAAGGCAGGGATGGGATCCTGCAGGAGAATGGCAGGGATGGGATCCTGCAGGGGAAAAGCAGGGATGGGATCCTGCAGGGGGAAAGCAGGGATGGGATCCTGCAGGGGGAAAGCAGGGATGGGACCCTGCAGGAGGAAGGCAGGGATAGGATCCTGCAGGAGGAAGGCAGGGATGGGATCCTGCAGAAGCAAAGCAGGGGTTGGACCTTGCAGGAGGAAAGCAGGGATGGGATCCTGGAGGAGGAAAGCAGGGATGGGATCCTGCAGGGGGAAAGCAGGGATTGGACCCTGCAGGAGGAAGGCAGGGATCCCTGGGGAGCCTCACCTTGGCTTCTCCCCTGGGACAGGCTTTCTGTGGCTGCCAGAGCCATGCCAGCCATGGTGGCGTGACAGTAGCTGCAGCAGATGGTGCCGTTGTCATCGTTTTATTTTCTATCCATGTGCTGAAACAGCTCAAAATAACTTCAGAAATGATGGCCCAATCCATGGAGAATGTTTTCCTGGCCCTCAGAAAATCTCCTGCAGCACTAGTGGCCACAAGGCTCTCCTGGTTCTGTCTCATCTGCTCTGGCTGAGATCGCTCACTAGACTGGAGCTGTGGCATGAAGAATCTTTCATATTTAATATCTTCATTACTGTGGCAGCATTGAATATTCACAGAACTTCTGTCAGGGTGCAGCAAATGTTGTCAGCACTGTGAAATCAAAGAAAGAGGAGCAGCTGAGATCAAAGTAAGCAATAAACACGCACCTTGTGTCTCACAATGTCTTTTCCAAGCCTGAGGCAAAACTTGGTGGGGCTCAGGTGCAGCTGGGTGGTGGCTGGTGCTGGCACAGCAATGGCCTGGCAATTTTTGCAGTCAAATGCAGACCATTTGACCCATGAGGAGGAAGAGCAGAGCCAAGGAGTCTCTGTTCACAGCCTGCCCCAGACACCCTGATGGATGGGTCACCCTGAGAGCTCTGCCTGGCTGGGGATTCTCACCCTCCTGGTCCTGTGAGGCTGTTCCACGTGTGGCTGGCTGTCTGAGTGACTTTTGGGGTATTTCTCAGCTCTTTGATTGGCTGAATTGCATTGCAGGGAGCTCAGGAGGGGTGTAGCAGTGCTCAGTGCCCTCCCTGATGGGCTGTGCTGGGGGAGATGGGGATGGTCTGGATCCACCAGCCTGTCCCCGCCTTGGGACCTGGTTTGGTGCCCACTGGAGCATGAAATAAGTTCTGTCAGCTTGTTTCTGGCCTCATATTAATGGAGAAGATTGTGATGGCCATGAGACCCTGCTGGCCACAGGAGCTGCCCCGTGTTTGTGAGGTGCAGCTGTCCCCAGAGCGGGTGAGCCCCGCCAGGCTCCTGTCCCCAGAGTGCTCTGCCAGCAGCTCTGTGCTCTGCTGCCCATCCTGGGCACACCCTGACAATCCCAGTGAGCCACCCAGGGCAGTGTGGCAGTGTCAGCTAGTGGGAATGGATGCTTTTCTGCTTCTCTTCCTCCGGGCAGTGCAATCTCTCCCAAAGCCATTGCTGCCTCCTCATGGTGTCCTTTGCCAGTCAAGGTAAAGCAGGCACTCGATGGGGCAGAGCAGCTGCTGTGCCATCGATTGTCCCGATTCTTTAAGACTCCAGGGCCATTTTTTTGGGAACTTCTTTTCCCTCTTTTCCCCCTCCCCATCAATTCTGGTGGCAGTGGGGAGGCTGGGGGAGCAGTCTGTGACTCTGTCCTGGGCTCTGCCCTGCCTGGTGTCGCAGCCACATCTTGGGGAAGGCAGTGCTGGGGGAATATCAGCCTTCCAGCACTTTCTGTTCAGTGAATAATGGCTGCTACAAGCCTGAGAGCTGCCGAGCCCGCCTTAAACCTGCGGCAGCAGGGGGGGAGGCTCTGGTTTGCAGCAGGTTGGGCTCAGCCTGGGATGGGAAGAGTCAAAGGGAATTAGCTGGTAAATAAGATCTGCCTTCTCTTTGATCCGCTCTGCGTGTTCAACTGCTTAAAGGCTTCCCAAGCAAGCGGGATTTTGGGGAGGAAGAATTTATCCCCCCACCATCGACCATCTCAGGGCTGGGTGGAGCTGCAAGATGCTGTAGCAGGGGGTGGGAAGAAATCCTCAGGCAGCCTGGCAAATCCCTGCCAAAGAGGCTTCTCTCCCCTCTCTGCAAAGAGCCTGCTGAGCACACAGGGCTGCTTTAAAACCGCTGCTGCCTCCTTTTGTGCTGCCACGTAAGCCCTTCTGATCAGAGCTCTAATCTACCTAAAGTTAGGGGGACTTAGGGGCAGCCTGATTTTTGCATCATGTCATGGCATGAGCTGGGTGATCTGGAGGGCCAGCACCTCCCTGGGCTGTGCCCACCCTGAAATGCCCTCTGAGAGCTCGCGGGGAAGGCTGGGGTCTGCACTGCTGCTGGGAAAGGTTGGTCAGGTCACCCAGGCCAGAGTGAGAAGGAAATTAAGAAGGGAGTGGAAGATCAAGGAAGGAAGATCCATTCAGTGCCAGGAGATGCTGCAGGTGGGGATAGAGATGCTCAGGCTTTGAGGTGGAGGTGGAGCAGGTCACAGTTGTTTTACTGGGGACGTGCAGACAAACCCATTCCCCCCGTCCTGCAGCTCAGGCCGTGGGCTGGGGTTTTTGTGCTGGATAATCTGGTCTCTAATTGCTACCCTGCTCTGAGGCAGCTGCTGAACTGGGCCTAAGCTGATTTGGGATGGCAAATTCTGTTAGTTTAATTCTCAGCAGCCCTGAGGAACTTACCAGCATGCGAGTGAGTTTTCCTTGGCTTTTCTCTGGCCATGAGACCCCCGTGGTGACCCCTGGCAGGACCCTTGGCTCTGAGCAGCTCTGATTTGTAAGGGCTGTGCTGGGGGAATGGAGTGACAGGAAAAGAAAATGGGTGTCCATGCTGCTGTGGGTGAGACTCTGGTGCCCCAAAAGCTGTTCTGATGTGAGCCCAAACCCATCTCGTGTCTCTTTGAAAAGTGTCCAGCCCCTGGAGAAAGGGGCAAAAGTTTCACACCTCCAAAGAGTTACTCAAACTATAATAAATATGGAAAAATTGTAAAAAGAAAAAAGAAAACATGCATTTCGGAGGCAATTTCTTTTGCAGCTCTGTCCTATTGCTCCGAGAGGCATTTATCTGTCTTTGAACCTAAAAGAAGTTTTCCATCCTCTTGACTAGATATCCTGAAATTCCATGTAATTTCTCAGCTCACTGCATATTAGTGCCTGCAATTAATGAGATCATCGTCCATATTCCTTCCTCTGTCAGCTTCTGGGAAAAACAGTACTTGGAGAAGAGCACAAAGGACATGAAAAGGAAGTTGCTTATGAATTATGAACAGCCTTTCAGGCTGATGTTGTTTCACGGTGCTGTCACTCTGTTTTAATTATGTAATTCAGACGGAATGATGCTTCTTTAAAGCCCTGTTCGTGTTTGATCACCTTTCAGAGGTAACACTTGGCTCGTGTTTGTTGAATTTTCATTTTTGACAACAAGAGCGAGTGCTTTGTCCCCTTTCTGATTAAATAATGGGGAAGGAAGATGCTGAGCACGAGACAATAGCCTGGAGGCTTGGGAGTTACCTGGGTGATCACTTGGGTATTTTGTGGGTATTTTGTGGGTATTTTGTGGCTGGAATGAGGGGTGGAGCTGCTCCTCGGGCCACTGGTGAGTCCCAGAATGTGCAATTCCAGCCAGCATCTCCTCCTGCTGCTGAAATGTTCCTCTCCTTTCCCTGTGTTTTCCTGCCCCGGTACCTCCGGGCCCCTGCACCACCCGCAGGCAGCTCTGCCAAGGCCGGGTTTATTTTGGGCTGGGCTGTGTAAATCGAGCCCCCGGTCCAGCCTTGTGATCCCGGGATGGTCCCTGCCCTGCTTGGGGACAGTCCTGGGCCGCGTCCCCTGGGCTGTGCCCACTGTGACCCACGGAGGGGCTCTGGGGGGGCTGTTCCCTCTCCCTGGTGCCAGGGCTGGAGGTGCCTGGCACAGATTGCCCAGCTGGGTGCTCCTGGGTCTGCCCTGTCCCCCTCCCCTCCATGGGGCACCTTGGGCTCGCCTCGTCTGCAGCCTGGGGTTTGTCTCCCTTCCACTGCAGAGGAGCTTCGTGCCCAAGGGTGCAGAGTTTGGGCTCTGAACTCGCCGGGCAGAGGGTGCTGGAGGCTCTGTGCGGGGTTTTTGGGGCTCCCCAGGGGCTGCAGGGTGCAGGGGGCCCTGGTGCCTCTTTGGTGCAGGGCAGGAATTGCTGCTGCAGCCTGGACGTGGGGCTGGGGACAAGGAGCAGCTTTGGGCTGAGCCAATGGTGGCCTTCCAGTGTCTGTGGGAAATGGGAATATTGGGAAATATTTCCAAGGACCTGGAGTGACGGGACAGGGGAATGGATTTAAACTGAGAGAGCCGGTTTGGAGTGGGCATTAGGAGGATGCTCTTCCCTGGGAGGGTGGGCACAGCTGGGGCTGCCCCTGGATCCCTGGCAGTGCCCAAGGCCAGGCTGGACAGGGCTTGGAGCCCCCTGGGACAGTGGGAGGTGTCCCTGCCATGGCAGGCGTGGCACTGGATGGGCTTTGAGGTCCCCTTCAATGCCAGGAAGGCTCCGGGTTTGGAAAATGGGAGGTTTGGAGGAGCTGTTAATTATGGGATGGGCTGTTGCTTTTTAGATAGTGTCCCTGGTTAAGGAGAATAGTTCTGCTGGGGGTGGATAAGGTTCTTTGGAGGGTTTGTGCTTTATCTGCCATGTGGATGGTGCTGTTCAAGTTTATCTCTGTGCAGCTTTCTTTGCTCTAATTATGCATCACTGAGCCATTGCTTCAAGGCGGGGCTGGTTTTATATTTTTAAGAATATTTTAGAATTTTTTTTTTTTTTCCCCTTGATGTTATGTTTTTCTCTGAGAAGGATTTCCCCTTCCCCCTCTCAAAAGGAAAAACAAAGAGGATTATCATTGTGGACTTCTTTCAGAATTTTCAGTCCATCTTTGAGCATTCGAATCTAGAGTATGCCACTTTAATAAGATTTAAATTCTCTTTGGTCACGGGAGTTCATTACCTGAGTGAAAACCCAAGGCCAAGGCGAGGCTTTCCCTCCCTCCCGTGCCAGCTGGAGGTGGTTTTGTTCCCCACTGAGGGTGGCTCGGGCACAGGGGACTCTCAGGAGCAGCAGGAGGACGCTGTGCTCCATCTGCTGGGAGATGTCTCTGCTCTCCAGAGCCATCCAGGCCTCACCCCCAGACCTCTGTGTCTGAAGGAAGGGGCTGCAGCTGGGTTTGAGGTGCCCCCAGGGTCCCCCTGAGTGTTTCAGTGATGGACCTCCACGCCCTTGGCGGTGCTTTTTCCCTGTAACAGGAAGGCAGCTCTTCCTCTCAGATTGTCTCTGAAAAATTAATGGCTGCATCCTCCCGAGCTGCATTGTGCCGTGCCACGGTGGGAGTGGGGGCTGGCCCTGCCCGTCCCTGAGCAGCACGGGCAGGGAGCAGCACCTCAGCTGCTCTGCACAGCCCTGGCCCTTCCTTTGTGCTGCAGAGCCCCGGCACTGGCTGGTCAGGGCAGGCAGTGACCACCAGCCCTGCCCGCAGCAGCCTCAGCCTCTGCTGAATCACAGCACCGGGGCTGCAGCCCTGCATGCCCAGGAGAAATGCAAGAGCTTCCCCTGGCTGCAGCCCTGCATGCCCAGGAGAAATGCAAGAGCTTCCCCAGGCTGCAACCCTGCATGCCCAGAAGTGCAAGGATTCCCTGAGGCTGCAGCCCTGCATGCCCAGAAGCACAAGGACGTCCCCAGGCTGCAGCCCTGCATGCCCAGGAGAAATGCAAGAACTTCCCCTGACTGCAGCCCTGCATGCCCAGAAGTGCAAGGTTTTCCCCAGGCTGCAGTCCTGGAGAAATGCAAGAACTTCCCCTGAGGCTGCAGCCCTGCATGCCCAGGAGAAATGCAAGAACTTCCCCTGACTGCAGCCCTGCATGCCCAGGAGAAATGCAAGAACTTCCCCTGACTGCAGCCCTGCATGCCCAGGAGTGCAAGGACATCCCCAGGCTTCAGCCCTGCATGCCCAGAAGTGCAAGGTTTCCCCAGGCTGCAGCCCTGCATGTCCTGGAGAATTGCAAGGTTTTCCCCAGGCTGCAGTCCTGGAGAAATGCAAGAACTTCCCCTGATTGCAGCCCTGCATGCCCAGAAGTGCAAGAACTTCCCCAGGCTGCAGTCCTGGAGAAATGCAAGAACTTTCCCAGGCTGCAGCCCTGCATGCCCAGAAGTGCAAGGATTCCCTGAGGCTGCAGCCCTGCATGCCCAGAAGTGCAAGAACTTCCCCAGGCTGCAGCCCTGCATGCCCAGAAGTGCAAGGATTCCCTGAGGCTGCAGCCCCGCATGCCCAGAAGCACAAGAACTTCCCCAGGCTGCAGCCCTGCATGCCCAGAAGTGCAAGGTTTTCCCAGGCTGCAGCCCTGCAGAAATGCAAGGTTTCCCCAGGGGGATGCTGTCCATGGAGCCAGCAGATGAACCTCCAGCCAGCAGTCCCCTCTGCATGGTGCCCCAGGAAATGGTCCAGAAAGGCAAGAAAGGACCAGATGTGGGCAAACACTTGACTGCTCTTCTCCAAAAAACACGTGGGAGGGAGAGAGGAGAGGAGGCAGAGTCGGGGAAAGCCTGGTGCAGATGCAGCATGGCAGATTTGGGAGTTTTTGCCCTGCATGTGCAGCTGGGAAACAAAGGTGCCACTGCTGGGAGGTGTGTGGTGAGCAGAGAGTGGCTGGAGGGGCAGGAGCTGCTGCTGCCATCCACATTTTCCTGCCCAGGACAGGGCAGTGCTTTGGGAAAGCTGCTGGACCCAGTGCCAGAGAGCTGCTCCACGTGCACACACACCAGAGCAGCACCTTTCTGTGTCATTGTACACTCAGGTTTGTGCCTAGGTTGCTTTTTAACACTAAATTTTAGTATTTCAGTGCTGTAAATAATATCAAGCATCAGCCAGATGAGGTCTGGATATAATCAATATGATCCTTTCAGCTCTTGGCAGCCATGTGTCCAAATAATTAGGACCCACCAATTAGAGCAATAATTAGATACTTAATTCTTTCTTATTTTATACCTCCATTTTTATGGGTGATTTCATTCCAGTGCAAGTCCTCCAGCTTCCTTGGTTCTCCAGTCCTGTCAAATGGCTTTGTAGCTGTCTAAGGCAGTAATTAAATTGCAGAGTCATCTTGCTAAGGCTTAGAAAAAAAGCTGGGTGAGAGATCTGGTTACTGCCCCTGGAGTTTCTCTTGTGTGGTTCCATACATGCAGTTAATTTATTGCCAGCAGACAAAACCACAAGTTTCCTCCTTGCTGCTGGTAACCTGAGCTCCACTGCTGAGCATGTGATCACACTAATAGCTGATTATTAATCACTGCCAAAGGCTGTAATTAAGCAGCTAAAAGCACTGTCTGTCCAGCCAGCACAGAGCACCCTGCACCAGGGGGCAGATGATGGTTGTTGGAGACTTCATTTCCTTTTGCAGATCAATGCAGTTTAGAGAAAGGGCTGGGAGGTTTGGCACCTTCCTGCTCCCACCCCTGACCTGCTTGCTTTGCTCTGTGCTGTGCTGGGGCTCTCTGAGCCCTGCAGGAAGGGTTTGGGGTTAAAGCAGGGGCTGTGCTGTGCCCTCACAGCCACAGCTGAGCGGGACCCTCTCCTCTAAGAGTCCAGAATCCATCCCTGGACAGCCCTGGTGCCCCCCCATGTGTCACTTTTGGGTAGCCTTTAAGGTGATGAGTGTGTTGTGGTAGCTGTGTATCCCTGCTGGGTGTGTCCACAGGGATGGAAGGATCCCCTCCCAGAGCAGCATCACACCCCACCAGCAAGTACAGCTCCTGGGAGACTGGTTAAACTGGGAAATGCAGAGTGTGGAGTGTGCACAGGAGTCAATCAGCACTTAGGCTGCTGCTCTCATGGCCCTCCTGGGGCAGAGCTGTGCCAGAGCAGCGTCCTGGGTGCACCAGGGTGCTCACTTTGCTTGGCACGTCTTAAATACTCCTGGAACTTGAATGCAGCTGGCAGGAGTTGCCTCTGTGTTTGCTGTGAGGGATGCAGTGACTGGCACATGCTTTTGCTTGTGCAGGACTGCCCAGACCTTCCCTTGGCTCCTGTTGGGTCAGGTTTTGCCTAATGGGTGTTAGTTTTTACTCTCCTTTTCAGGTACCTTTGCTGAGAGGTGGCAGAGCAGCCTCAGGACACCACCATGATGGAGGATCACGCACCTGGCCAGGAAAAACACTTCTCATCAGGTGAGCACGTCCAGGAGGTGGTGAAGGACCTGCCTGGGCCAGTGCTGAGCTAAGGAGGGAGAGGGAGAGCACGGTGGTGGTGTGAGGGCCCCTTGGAAGGACACTGAGGGTCAGCCAGGGCACCACAGGGAGCCCACAAGATGCTCCAAAATGCGCAGTCATGGCAAAATGCTGCTCGTGGGTCTCACTGTCCATGGAGCAGAATAACCCCAGACTAGGGGGGGAATCCCACTGCTGCAGCTTTGCAAGTGTGTGTTTGTGTTCACCCCTCAGTTTGCTCAGGAAACACAGCACTGTTTTTATTTGGGGTCACAGCTCGAGGATGCTGCTTGCTGCCTGCTTTCCTCACCTGCACAGGGCCCTGGGGACAGCTGAGCAGAGAGCTCTGGGAGTGGGGGCCATGCCAGACTCTTCCTCACCATATTTCAGACCTGCATTTCTTCAGAAGCTTTTCCTTTTCTCATTCCACCGTGCTCCACAGCTGAGCTTGGAAACCCGCGCTGCCAGCAAACCTGGTGGGACTCACTCCTGGCTGTGCTCCACATAAACATCATCTTAATTTCCTTTTCTTGAGGTGCTTTGGACACCTCTTTGGCCAGATAAATGGATGGCCTCTGTCCTGGAGAGCATCCAGAGCCTCCATTCATCCTGGCTCTGCAGCATTGCGGTCTGACAGCTCCTCTCAGCTTGTCTCACACACCACAGGCTCCCAGGGATTTCGCTTCTTCTCTCCCAAATCACTTTTCCCAGCTCTCATTATTTGATTTGCCCGCACCCTTGCTGAGGGGAGACTTGTGCCTCTTGCCCTGCTCTTCCAGAAGACTTTTGCCACCGTTTCTTGGCACAGAATGTTGTCCTGCTCCAGCCCTGTCACAGCCACGGGCTGGTTTGCAGCCCTGGGAGTGCTCAGCCTGCTCTGGGAGGGAGGGAGAGGACAACAGAGGCTCAGAAGCTGCACATCTTTCCTCCTTACGTTGCTGAGATCTCCTGCCTGCTTGTGCCATGCTTTGCTGTTTCTGCCTGCCCAGTTCACTGGGCTTTTCTTTTGCTGGTGGGTTTCCTTTTGTTCCTTTTGGTGGTCACCCTGGTGCTTTTGGTTGGCATTTTCACGCTTTGCTTGCTTTTAGTTCAGGTGGTTTTTACTCTCCAGCTGCAGCTTCTTTGCAGCTGTGGCTCTGGGCAATGAGAGTTGGTAACCCCCAGGCCCCAGGTCATAGCCAAGGACTTGTTGTAAGTATCTGAATGTTTTCCAGGCTATCCCCTTCAGATACCAGTCGATGATGGATCGGATGAGCCTGTTTCTGAAACTTCTGACGCTAAGAGCACCCCAACTACGGAAGGTGGGAGCTCTTTGACTTTCTGCTTTGGAACCACGATGGATGGGGTCGTGGTAAACCTCACCACAGAGTCCCTGTGCCGTGTCCTGATGGGGTTTCTCAGGGGGAGAAACCCCTTTGTTGGTCTCATCACTAGTGGTGTTTGCTGAACGAGGTGCAGAGTGGGCTGGAAAGCAGAAAGGTGAATTGTTCCTTACAGCTCAGGAAGTTGCTGGTGGTTTGTGTCCTGCAGACTTTTCAGGGGCTCTGCAAGGTCCTGGCAGTGCAGCCAGGAGCAGTCCTGTGTTGAGTGACACAGCTTTGTGTCACTGTGCTCCCCAGGTCCTGAATGCCTCGTGGGTAGAAAGGCTGATTCCAGAGTGGTCTAGAGACTTGCTCACTGTTGTAATTCCCTTCACTTTTTGCTGCTCAAATCCCAAGAATCTGCCTTTGGAGACTTGAGGTAGAGGCTTTAGCTTGCAAAATTGTTCTGAAAGGCAGGAAGGCTGGGCAGAGGTGCTGAGCAGCCCCAGCCCTGTCCCGCTGGAGGCGTGGGCTGAGTGATTGTTGGGAAAGTGCCTCAGGAAATCAGGACATAGAGCCCATGTGGTGCAGGAGGGGATTTCACCCTGCTTTCCAGTTGGAGTGGGGCTGTCAGGACGAGCAGCCAGCGCTGTGGCAGCTGGGGCTGGGTGTCCCTCTGTCCCAGAGCACGATGCAGCCACGCTGGGGTGTTTGGTGCAGCCCAGGGCAGCTGTTCTGTCCTGCTCCAGCCCAGCCGTGTCTCCAGGCAGGATTGCTGTGCACCAGGGGCTGCTTTCAGCGGTGGATTTTTGGACAAAAAGGCAAAGCCTTCAGAAGCATAGGGAGCACATTGTGGCACACAGTGTGCCAGGGGGCAGCTCATGGTGTCCCTGTGGCTCTGCCTTTGCTGTGCCACGCTCAGTTGTTCCCTCTGCCAGCTCCTCTGGCTCGAGGGGGAGCCGAGTGCTTCTCTGAGCAGAAACTTCTTCAGGCCCATCCTGGCCTCCAGAGGGCTTTGCCTCTCAGCAGCTGTGTGAAAGCTGTGTTGTTTTTCAGATGCCACAGCACCTTTAGTGGAGGAAGGAGACCACGAGGATCAGGGTGGTGCGGAACAGCACGGGGAGATCCCAGAAGGAACCACAGGTGAGGGAGACCAAGGTGCAGCTTCATCTCTTGCTGCAGACAGAGCAGAGAGCTGGACTGGTCGGTGCTGTGAGACAACACCACGAAACCTCTCACAGGGACACTGCTCCCAGTGCTGCTTCCTTCTTCTCCAGAGGATTCCTCACTCAGGGCTGTCCTCTTGCCTTCCCCATCCTGGGGGGAACTCGCAGCCTTTTCTTCTCTCTTCCTCTGCTCCACATCTGACCATCCTTCTGCCTGGTGTCTCTGTGGTGGCTTTGGCTCCCACCTCCAGGCTCCTACCTGCAGTTCTGGGTCGTTCCTGTGCCAGCAGCCCCTGGGTGCCTGTCCTGCAGCTCTTGGGCTCTGCCCAGCCCCGCGGGTGTCTTTGGAGTGGCAGGTGAAAACCAGGCCACTGCAGCAGTGCTTTTAAGGATAATGCAGAGGAAGTGAAGTGACTGATTCAGCCTGAATGCCCTGTGGGCACTCACTGCACCTGGGCCTGGTTTTCCAGGGAAGGATGGGGCCTTCCAGAGGCAGAGCAGGGAGTGACTGTGGCAGTGCTGTGTGTGGGAGAGCAGGATCTGGGAGGGCAGGTCTGTGTGCGAGAAATGAGGACGTGTCCCCTGTGCCATAGCCAGTGGCATTCCCTGGAAGCATCAGGCAGGACCTGAGAAAAGCAGCGGGTAGAAAAGGGCTTCTGCCAGTGCCAAGCACTGAAACAAACTCACAGCAGTGAAATTTCTGTGCTGCATCCAGTCCCTGAGCTGCTGGCAGAGCCCTGGGCTGAAACACGGAGGCTCTGGTGCAAGATCTGACTGTCCCAGGGAGCCAGTGTATCCTGAACTGCTTGAAAAAAATGGAGAAAACAGAAGAAGTCCTAGTTTGACTGGAGAACTGTGGCATACCAATATCAGTGTTTAAGCTAGTTTGAAAATAGTCATAGAATAAACTGAAAAAATGCTGATGGAGACAAACCATCATCACTGTGAAGAAAACCATGCTTCTCTGATGTACCTGTAGTCCTGAAATTCAGGATTTCTCTAGATTTGTACCAGGATTGGAATTACTGGTCTCACAGAGCCTTGGCAGGGTTCACAGGTTGGTCACAGGCACCAAGAAGGTGAGCACAGGTAAGAGACACTCACGGGAGTGCTGCTGGCCATGTAAAGGCCACGTGGGGGTAGAAGAGGATCTGCATCCACACGTTTCCTTGCTCCTTAACAGCCTGTTTTCTGCCTGGAAAAGCTTGTGCTAACCTGCCATTTAGGATGTGGAAGCTGGTGAAACACTGCTCTGCTCTGTAGAGCAGGGGCTGAACAGACCTACCCAGATCCATCATCGGTGCGGGGAGATTTCCTTTCTGTGATGCAGCAGAGATCCCGCTCCTTCTGCTGGGCAGCCTCAGCAGGGAGGCACTTTCATTCTCCAGGCACATGCTTAAACTTTAGTCTTATTTTAATCGTGTTTTTTCCCCTTCTTTCTCTGACCTGGGAGCAGCTGAAGAGGCGGGCGTAGGAGCCACTCCCAACCTGGAGGACCACGCTGCAGGAGATGCCACTCAAGGTGGGTCAGTTGTCTGCCACTGGGACCATTTGGTGCTGCCCACGTGTGCAACTGGTTGGTGGTGGCTTGGGGATTCTGTTCTGTGGGGAAATGCTCTGCCCTGCTCAGCAGCTGTGCAGTTCTCCCTGTTCCTGGCAGAGCAGGGCCATACACGCTTGGGGTGTTCCAAAATACTCATTTCAGGCAGCTGCAGTTCCTCATACACCAGATTTCCCTCTCAGATGGCCAAAGTCAGGGTGTTTGTTTGTCCACCTGCACAACCAGGGCGTTCTCCAGGCTGGGAAAGCTGATGGACAGAGCTGGGATGTGCTGGGGCCAGAGGAACTGCTCAGATGGAGCAGAGGCAGTGCAGGCCCTGTGCTCACACAAGAAACCAGCAAATTATTTAATTACTGTGACTTTCTAGAGTAAAATAGGACTCAAACCTACTCACTCAAGCCCTGACTTCCACATTAAGGGAGTTTTCTCCTCATCCCAGTCCTGGGGAATGTGAGTGAGGAAGGCAGGCACAGTGGGCAGTGAGTGTTCCCACAGCATTCATTGTCTTATCTGCTTAGAAGGGCTGAAAATTACCCAGGGACCATTTGGCTGCCTGGAGAGCTTCTCTTGACTCTCCTCAGTTCAGACTTGATGGAAAGTTGGTTTTCCCAAAGCCCCCAGTGCTGGATTGATTCCATGGGGCAGACTTAGGGGTTGAGACTCCCTGTGCTGTTTCTGTCCTGCCTGCACTGCACACCACAGCACTAATTTATTGTGCTGCTTAAAATCTTAGGCAAAAGCCATTTTGTGAAGCAGTTTGCTGTGCAGTAAACATAACAAATCCCTCCAGTTGAGCAGTGTCTTTCCTTTTCATGGCTCCATTAGTGCATTTAGACATCCGTGTCTTTTACAGAAGCAAAGAGGTTTTGCCTTCTCAGCTCAGGGCAGAATTCAGGTTGTTGTTGCTTTCCACACAGAGATGAGCACAATTCTGTGCACTCTGCTCCCTGCAATTAGAATAAAACCTTTGCTTGCCTGGCCAGTGGTTTTTGGACTGTCAGCTCTTCTAAATATGAAATAGTGGCTCCATTATAAAAAAGAAATCAGGATTGTTAGTGGAGGGGGTTGAAGTTCTCTCTTCTCTCTGCCCTGGTTTTAGTGCTGTTTCTCACCAGGTTTTTACTAAGCCCTTTCTGCCTTGTCCTGGGATCTTTCAGCTGTCACATCCAAGCTCTTGGTGTAGTTGTTTCACTTAACTGTGATATTCTCTTAAAATGGGAAGGATGCTGATGAAAGACCAAGTCGGCCTCGACTTCATCTTTTCTTGTTTCAGTCTTGTTTGTTCATCTGCCAAAGCCACAGTTGTGATCTCAGGGCTCTGATTTAGGCTCTTTACCTGATCAGTGCTCAAAGAGACCAAAGGGTCCTTGAAGCTGAGCCAGCTCATAATACAAGAGGCACATTCTTACTGGGCTGGTGACTCCAAAGCAATGCACCCAGGTGAATTCTCCATTGCTCAGGGCATCTTTCCTTCAGCTGGAGGGATTTCCAACAGAAAAGCTCCAGCTCAACTGGAAGACCTGGCTTCATGCAGCAGTTGTTGGGTGGAATTGTAAAGGTCTGTGTCATGCACAGAGCAGTGACAGAACAGAATCCCCTCTTCCACACACACACACCAAAAAAGAAAAGAGAATCAGACAAATCTTTGCCTCTGTGGCCTCAGGTTCTGGGGTTCAAATGTCACCCAGCCCAAGTGATGGCAGAGCAGCAGCATTGGAGCTCTCAGGGGTCCCAGACTGCTGTGGCCACAGCCATGTTCTTGTCCCCAGCCCTTTCCCTGCTCTGGCATGGCATGGGAGTGCCCTTCCCAAGCTCCTGGGCAGTGGGAATGATCCAAGGGCAGAGCAGAGCTGGTCTGAGCTCTGAAGCCAGGGCCGTGTGTGCCTGAGCATCTCCCAAGGGGAGGGGAGGCCAGCAGGGGCTCTGTGAGGTCAGGAAGAAGAAGGACAGAGCTCTGGCCCTTGCTCAGTCCCTTGGGACAAGAAGAGATGGGCACTGACCAGCAAACCGATGGCCCAGTGGTGGTGTTAGGGAAAATGGGAACACTCCTGGCTTCTGGAAACCTCTACAGCTCAACCAGCTCAAGGAGTGCAGGGCGAACCCAGCCACCTCCGAGCCGGGCCCAGGCAGGAATCTGATCTCCCAGGTGCTGTTCCTGATTTCCGTGGGGATCAGAGCTCTCTAAAGGCAAAAAGCCACTCTAGGAGTGAGTTGTCTGTTCAGTGGGGCGGGGTGGGACTTGCTTTTATCCTTGATTGCCAGTAGAAATGCTGAATCTCTCCCGTTACGTGATGTTTGACATGCCTGTGCTAATTTCTTGCCCATGCTTCACACCCCACGTCTTCAGCTCCAGGCGAGCCGAGCTCTGCAAAGCTCCAGCCTGGCCCTCAGGAGCGTGTGGGAGAGGCACTGAGAGGTGCCAGCCAGCCCCCAGAGCAGGGGCTGGGGCCTCAGCAGCCGCCCCTGCCCCGTGAAGCCAAAGCTCCAGCAGCAGCTCCCACCAGGATCGAGGTCACCATCCCAATCCCCCTGGACATGTACCAAGGCTCTGGAGGCAGCAGGGACCAGGCAGGCAGAGAAGGCAGCAGTGCAGAGCCAGAGCTGGGCCTGGCAGGAGCAGGAGGCACAGGTGACCTCAAAGATGGACCCTTGTGTGCCAGAGCCACGATCAAGGAAGGTTCTGGTGGACGGGAGAGGGATGAGGACCGGGATATTGATGAATCTCCTGGGCAGGGTTTGCCTTCCCTTGTGGATCAGTTTGTTTCTCCGGGACCTGAAAAAGGCTCGTGTCCAGCAGCTGCCCAGGAGACTCGTGAAGAATCTGATGGAGAAAACAAGCCCAAAGGTGTCCTCAGAGACACCCCAGGAGAGGCACTTCTGGTCGAAGCTGAGTCACATAAAGCAGGAGAGGACCAAGAGGAGAAGCGAGAGCTGCTGGGGGAAGGAGGCGCAGACACCGCCCTGCCAGAGCCTTCTGGAAGAGTCTCCCAAAAAGAGGCTGAGCCCAAGGAGGCAGAAGATTCCGGGCCCGTGCTAGAAACAGCCAAGCTCGCTGCTGAGGTGGAGGATGCTGTGAAGGATGAAGATGCTGCTTTGGGAGAGGCTGTGCCAGCCTCGGGGGGCCGCCGGCCGCCCCGCAGGAAGCCCGGTGGGCCGGCTGCAGACAAGGGCAGTCGTGTCCCTCTGCTCAAAGGTGTGTGCTCCAGCACTGCAGCTTGCTGCCACCGGGGCTGCTGCTGCTGCTTGGAGCTGGCCTGGAGCGTGCTGTGACTGATCCAGAGCGCTGCTGCTCCCTGCCTGCCCTCCCTCCTCACTCAATCCAGGCCTGGATTGACAGACCCTTGTGCTGCGGTTCTGCGTGCCTTGCATGGTGCTGCCGTGTCCCTAATCATGCTTTTTTTCACCTGTTTTTGTTTTGATTTCCTTGGATCTGTTGGGTGGGGGCGCCTTCACTCCCACCTGAGAAGAGGAGGACCTGGACGTGGCTCTGGCATGGTGGAGTGGGGCTCACCTGGTGTGTGCAGCTTGTTCCAGCAGGACACGTGCCATCCATCTGGTTTGCATGTCTGCTCCAATAACTCTTGGAATTGGCTTTCCTAAAGAGGAGGGAGGAGGAAAAAAGGCAAGGATGGCAGGTCTAACCGTGGAAAAGCTCCCACGCTGATCCTGTTTCTTGTACTTTCCCCTTAAATGTCACTGCTGACTGCTGCTGGAGGCACGGGCTGCAGCCAGCAGGGCCTTTTCCCACTGCCAGGCATGTCCATTGCTCTTCCAAAGCATCCTGCTGCCACCCCAGCTCTGGGGATGGGGTGTCCCTGGGTGTGCCAGCACAGTGCTGGCTCTGGGGGCTCGGCAGGAGCTGCCTGTGTGTCTGGAGGCACTGAGACAGTGTGTGGGGCCGGGAGGGCAGCCTTGGGCAAAGCTTTGAGTTCACCACTAAGTGCTCGAGCATCCCTTAGACCTTTCCTTTGTGTTTCCCACCTCTCCTGGGGTCAGGAATGTGCCAGGGGCCCAGCTCAGAGGCCACAGGCAGCCGGTGCTGTGAGCTGTGGTAGGGAGCCAGGGCAGCAGGACACCTCACCGTGCTGTGCCTCAGCTCTGGCTCTCCAGGGCAGGTCCTGGGGGAGGCTCTGCCTTTTCCCCCAGCTCCACACATTCCACAGGCTGGCTTGGCTGCTCCCATGGGCCTGGGAATGCTGCTGGGCTTGGGGCTCTGCTGTGGGGCTCAGGCAGAAATTGTGGATGGAGCTTTTTCCCCCGGAGCCAAAGCTCACAACTCATTTCTCCTTGTTCCCTGTGGGATCTGCAGGGTGCAGCTTCCCTCCTGTGCTGCAGGCACTGGCATGGCTTGCACTGGAGCCTGGAACCACAGCAGGCTGGGGAGGCACTGCCCAGAGCCAACCACCTTCTGATTCAGCAGGAGAAGTTCAATTATTTAATGGTTTTTCCCTTCAAAGGCAGAGATGCTTGGTGGCTGTTTGGCTCCGGCCTTGCTCCAGTTCAGCTGAATTCGGGAGGGGTCAGGGCTGGATTAACAGCATCAGGAAAGGGCTGATCCCCCAGGATGAGTTTCCCAGCACTGGGGAGAAGATCAGCAGCTTCTCCTCCCAATTAGTTGAAGATGGGGGCGAAAAGGGCTTTGTTATGAGTGCCTTGGAGTGCAAACCTTATCTCCTCCCCATTTCTGATCTCCTAATTAGACTGACCCAGGTGGAAGGGGCAGAGAGCAGCCTGTCAGGAGAGATGGGAATTTACAACAGCCAGGGATAAAAGTGCTCTGCAGCACCAACTGAGGAACCCCTGAAACGAGATCACAGAGCTGCTGGACTGGGGCTTCCTCCAGTTTGGGTCTCTGTTTATGTAATTGTTAGAACAAGTGGGTGTTTCCGAGGGTTGAAGGGAACTTTCTGTGCTGGACTGGATGGATCCTGCAGGAGCTGGGTGGAAATCTGGGCGAAATGCTCCCTCACAAACCTCCCTGGTGTGTCTGGTCCCCAGTGCTGACTAACACAGCATCAGCTGCCAGCAACAGAAGGAATGTGATGTGCAGTGGTGCAAGGATTTCTGCAGGAGGTGGTGGCTTGGTCACATTTCTGAGAGCAGTACTGAGGGACAGGGAACAGCCCCAGCAGTGCCTGGAGTTTATGACCAGTCCCAAGAGGTGTAACTGTGTGTTTCCATCTGTCAGGTCGTGTTGACAAGGAAGGGACCGAAGCTGATGAAAAGAAACCCAAGGTAAGCTAAAAACCCAAACCAGGGGTGACACCTGTCCCTGCTCCTGGCTCCTCTCCTGCCCTCCTGCCTCTTAGGAAACCTTCCCATTATGTTCCATTTTTCCATTTGTTTTCAAGAGTGTTTTTGTTTTTTCCTTCCCTCCCCTGGGTTTGGATGGTGCAATCCATGGGTTCTTTGAGGGTGAGGAAATGATCCAAATCTAAATCAAGCACGTGGCTCATGGGGTTGGGTGGGAGGTTGGAGAAAGCATTTTATCAACCCAGGACTGAAAAGCAGCAGCTGACCTTGGGGCAGGCTCAAAACTGCTCTGGGGACAAGCATAACTGTGAAAAGAGCAAAACATGTAATTAAAACATTAAATTAAATAATCTTGGCCTTGCAGACCATAGAATATCCTGAGCTGGAAGGGATCCACAAGAATCATCAAATCCAGCTCCTGGCTTGCCCCAGGACAACCCCCAAAAAAGATGCTGTGTTGTGTTCTGGGTGAGGAACAGAGTTTAATAATGGGTAAATCCCAGAAGTTAAACAATATCTGTCACACTGGTAATTTGGAGGAGGTTTAGCTCAGCCGGCCATTATGCTGGTTAGTGCCTGAGTGGGATAATGGACAAGCTGAGGGGAAATGCAGTGGGTGAAGAGTTAAAGACGAGGAATAGAAATTGGTTATTTCTCTGTGTACAGCCCTGGCAGTCCCTACCCCACACCCAGCTCTGTATTGCACCTTCTAATCCTGTTTAATGTCACTGATCCCGTTTTATTTCCCTGCCATGCTGATTTTCTTTTGTTTTTTTTTTTGTTTTTTTTTTTTTTTTTTTGTTCCCATTTTATTTCATTTCATTTCCACGTTCCAAGAAATCCTCACCTTGCCCTGCCAACCCCCCTGGCTCCACTGCCCCCCTCTGGCACGCAGCCCCTGTGAAAGCACCCAGTGCCTCCAAAGCACCCTGCAGCCCTGCCAGTGCCTCCAAAGCACCCAGCAGCCCTGCCAGTGCCTCCAAAGCACCCAGCAGCCCTGCCAGTGCCTCCAGAGCACCCAGCAGCCCTGCCAGTGCCTCCAAAGCACCCAGCAGCCCTGCCAGTGCCTCCAAAGCACCCAGCAGCCCTGCCAGTGCCTCCAAAGCACCCAGCAGCCCTGCCAGTGCCTCCAGAGCACCCAGCAGCCCTGCCAGTGCCTCCAGAGCACCCAGCAGCCCTGCCAGTGCCTCCAAAGCACCCAGCAGCCCTGCCAGTGCCTCCCAACGAGCCTGTCCTGCCACCCCCCGGCCTGCCAGCACAGGAATGCAGGAAAACAGAGCCAAGGTAAGGGACTGGGCTGGGACAGAGGCCAGGGCAGCACCTGAAGGCATTCCTGGCATTCCTGGCTGCTGCAGGTCCTTCCCTGTCCCTGGAGAGGGGAATGTGCTCGCTCCACCCAGGTTTGGTGCTGGGAGGACCCGGCACAAAGGGCTCCCTGCTGCAGGTGTGCCCCCATCCCTGTCCCTTCGTGCCCTTCCTTGTCTGGCAGCTCTGTCTGTGTCTCACAGGTGAGTTTGAGCTGTGCCAGAGCTGCAGGTGCTGCGTGGGGTTAGGGAGTGCAGCACATCCATGGCTGATCCTGCAGGGTGAACAGAACCTCAGAGCTTTCTCCCTTTGTGCCATTCAGACACATAAACACACCCATAGGGAAAGCACAGGGGGTGCAAGTCACAAAGAACTGCAAAATCCTGGCATGGTTTGGGTCAGAAATGAGCTTAAATCTCATCCAGTGCCGCCCCTGCCATGGCAGGGACACCTTGCACTGTCCCAGGCTGCTCCAAACCCCAGTGTCCAACCTGGCCTTGGGCACTGCCAGGGATCCTGCTCTGGGCACCTGTGCCAGTCACAGATGCTGGGATTAATTTATCTTCTGTACAAAATTCTGGCAAAACAGGGGAACCCAAAGGGCGAAATTTAGAGAGCAGAGGTGTGACCAAGCCAGGTGTGTGGAGGGCACCTTTCCTGTGCCCTGCCTGTGGGTTTGGGACACAAGGTGTGAACAGGCACATTCCAGGTGTGGGGAATCCCAGGGAAAAGTGGGAGGGGTGCCAGCCTGTCCCTGGCTCTCTGAGGAGTGTCACCCTGTCCCTGGCTCTCTGATTGAGGGGTGTCACCCTGTCCCTGGCTCTCTGATTGAGGGGTGTCACCCTGTCCCTGGCTCTCTGATCCCAGGGGTGTCACCCTGTCCCTGGCTCTCTGATCCCAGGGGTGCCAGCCTGTCCCTGGCTCTCTGATTGAGGGGTGTCACCCTGTTCCTCTCTGATCCCAGGGGTGTCACCCTGTCCCTGGCTCTCTGATCCCAGGGGTGCCACCCTGTCCCTGGCTCTCTGATCCCAGGGGTGTCACCCTGTCCCTGGCTCTCTGATCCCAGGGGTGTCACCCTGTCCCTGACTCTGATCCCAGGGGTGTCACCCTGTCCCTGGCTCTCTGATTGAGGGGTGTCACCCTGTCCCTGGCTCTCTGATTGAGAGGTGCCACCCTGTCCCTGACGTCCTGCTGTGTCCCCAGGGCCCGGAGGCGCGGGGTGGCTCCAAGACGGGCTCGGCGCGCGCGGGGCAGGCGCAGAGGAACTCCACCAACGCCACCCGCATCCCGGCCAAGACCCCCACGGCCCCCAAGACCCCTCCCAGCTCCGGTAGGTGACGGTGGCAGCGTGTGCCGGGGGCTGGGTGGTGCTGCTGGGCAGTGCCAGGGGTTAATGACCGAACCCAGCCCTCTCCTGGGGCTCTGAGCCCTTCCAGGTGCTGCTCAGTGCCTGCGTTCCTGCAGTGTCCGGTGTGTAGGAGAGGCCGGTTGCTTTATCCTGTGGGATTTCCTCAAATTTGGAAGATTTAGGCAGCTCCATTTTTTTTTAATCCATCTGCTCGTTTTCTCTCTGATGATATTCACAAAGAGCAGGGGCAAGAGGATCAATTCTTCGATTACAGGAATGGAGATTAGCCCATTATGCTCAGAGAAGAAAACCCCAGAAAGCATCAGGCATTGTGAATTTCCATTAAAATGGTGCATTTCACTGGATGTATACATATATTTCATACTTAACCAGAGCTGCATAAAACCTTAAATCAATTAATTTTCCAGCTTTATTATGTTTAAGCATCTTTCTCATTCACTAAACAGGCAGAAAGGAGCAGAAAAAGCCACCTCCTGCAGCAGCAAAGACTGAGAAAGGTGATGTTTAAGGGTCTTCTTTTCTTCTTTCGTTTCCTTTTCAAACTGGGGACAGTGCTAAGCTGCTCAGCGATCAGCCTTAGTTAATTGCAGAAAATAATTTTGTGCAAGTGCTTCCAAATTTCTGATAGAAAAGTGGTTCTGAGTGTCTTTTGTCTGTAATTCATCGTGCCACGCTCGGGTGGGGAGTCTTACTGATGATCCAGGCAGTGGAGACCATCTTCCTTCTGGGATATTAGGAAATTGCCTTTGAATCACAGTTTTGCCTTCAAAATGGAGTAGAAGAAAGCGCAGCCAGCAGCCTCCCCCTGCGCTGGGCTGTTGGGTGGGCTCTGGGACGAGGCAGAGCAGCCCCCAGGGGCAGCAGGGGAGGGCTCCTGACCGGGGCTGTGCTGTGTGCAAACTGCAGGTGAGCAGCCCAAGTCTGGAGACAGAAGCGGTTACAGCAGTCCCGGCTCCCCCGGGACTCCAGGCAGCCGTTCCCGCACCCCCTCTCTGCCCACCCCACCAGCCAGGGAGCCCAAGAAGGTGGCAGTGGTTCGCACGCCCCCGAAATCCCCGGCCTCCGCCAAGACCCGCGTCCCGCCGGCCGCCGCGCCCATGCCCGACCTGAAAAACGTCAAGTCCAAAATCGGCTCCACCGACAACCTGAAGCACCAGCCCGGAGGTGGCAAGGTAAGCACAGCCTCTGCTCCTGCTGCGGGGGGGACAGAGTGTGCTGGACGCTGCCTCTGGGCTGCCAGGGCCTCCCTGCAGCAGCACTGGGCACTGGGCACTGGGCACTGGGCACTGGGCAGGGCTCCAGCCTGACTCTGCTCCACCTGGAAGGTTTTTGGGGTTGGATGCTTGGCCTGCAATTCCTTGCTCAGGTGTCCCATGGAGAGCTCATGGTGGTGAGGGTCTCGTGGGGGAATGACATTTCCTGGTGGTGACAATGCCAGGCAGGGACAGCAGGCTGTGAGCTGAGGAGTGGCAGGGTCAGGGCTGTGTTTCTGAGTGCCACCCTGTGCCTGGAGCAGGGCACAGGAAGGTCTGTCTGCTCCTTCTGAGGGTCTCAGGCTCAGACCCCACATTTTGCCAGACATTGGGATTTTGGATCCAGCTCTGTTGGCAAGGTTTTGGGTTGTGTTGTGCCACCAGGTGCTACACAGTGTGTGGTGGCACAGCCAGAACTGGTGGCACGTCTGTCCTTTCAAACACTTTGCACTCCCAGAAAAGTTGTTTCACAAGCAAAGTGACCTCTGGGCTTGGGAATGAGGGTCTTGGATTAAATTCTGCAATCCTGGCAGGGGACACTGCCTGTCCTGGGGTGGCACTGCCTGTCCTGGGCTGGCACTGCCTGTCCTAAGGGTGGCACTGCCTGTCCTGGGCTGGCACTGCCTGTCCTAAGGGTGACACTGCCTGTCCTGGGGGTGACACTGCCTGTCCTGGGGTGGCACTGCCTGTCCTAAGGGTGGCACTGCCTGTTCTAAGGGTGGCACTGCCTGTCCTGGGCTGGCACTGCCTGTCCTGGGGGTGGCACTGCCTGTCCTGGGGGTGACACTGCCTGTCCTGGGGTGACACTGCCTGTCCTAAGGGTGGCACTGCCTGTCCTGGGGTGACACTGCCTGGCTGCAGACCTCGCAGAGCCATAACAAACCTTCCCTGAGTGCTGTGCATGACATTTTGTGTGAGCAGGTACCTCGGTGGCTCTGAACGTTCCCCTTTGGCACGGGGGGAGGCTTTGGGCTGGCTCCTCTGCATCCTGTGAAGTGGCAGCCTGCTTCTCCATGGCCTTTCCAGGCATTTCCCACCGTGGCTGGCGATTCACTGGCTTTGTGCCACCATCCAGGGGGGCTCTGGAGCCTGGGCAGGGCTCTTGGTCATGAGACAGCAGCACATGAGCACAGTGTCCTTTTGGGGGGGGCTCAGCCCTCCTGCCCACTTAGCACAAGACATGGGTTTTTCTTCCCACCCCCACAAACCCTGTTCTCCAGGGATTTTAGAAGGAATCCTTGTTTACTGGAAAATAGTTAAATTATTTGCTTGTTCTTTTTAAATCCAGCTTTCACAAGTTGCTTTTTCCCCCCCTCTCTGCTTCTCTGTTTGTTGTTGTTGCTGAAAAAGTAAGAACAGCTGAATTTGGGACAATTCCTTGCTCTTTGCAGGGGAGAATGGCTGGATGCTCTGCTGGGGATTCTGTAGACTGCTCCCAGCAGAATGGCTGCAGCTGGAGCAGAAGGGGCTGATCCCAGACGTTTGATTTGAGGCTGCTCAGAAATGGGTTTGGAGCCTGTTGTCTGTGCAGATTCCAGACCCCCAGGCTGGGCAAGCAAAGGAGCAGCCAGGCCAGGTCTCTGCCTGTGCTGCTGCATGCTCTGAGCACTCGTGCTGTGGCTGCATCACCCAGTGAGGCTCTGGCACAGCTGCTCTGGCACGGCTGGGTCCTGATTTGTGGAATGGTTGATGTGAAGTGGGACAATCCTGCTGGAGGCACACGCCAGCCATGGTGCCTCTCATGCTGGAGAGCCAGGCCCTGCAGGGAGCTCTGCTGGCCGAGCAGGCTGGGGCTGCAGTGCTGCCATGGAGGGCAGGTGCCTGCTCAGCTTGGGAGAAGGCGCCACCAGGAGTGTCTGTGCCCAGGGAGGTGACACTGCCGGGGCCTCTCGTGGTGCCTCTCACAGGCTCTGTGGGCTGTCACCTGCATTCACACCCCTGGGGGTTGTGAAGGCACTCCAGGGTGTGTGGGGAAGGAGCAGGGATTGTCTTCACCCTGGGGCTGTCTGGAAGAGCTGCTTGGGTGCCTGAGGTGGCTCCAGGGCAGCTCCCTACACAGCCAGGGGGAAAACAAGCCCTGAGTGGAGCCAGCTTTGTGAGCACAGAGTGCAGGGAAGGCTTTGGGGCTGCAGGGAGTGGCCAGCAGTGGTGCCCATGTGGCCCCAGCCCTTCCCAGCCCCACTCCCACCCACCAGGGACGTGTTAGGAATGTGCCACAGCACTGGGGTGGGGCTGCATCCCTGGGTTGGGACCTGGGGCTGCATCCCTGGGTTGGGACCTGGGGCTGCATCCCTGTCCTGGGGCTGCATCCCTGTCCTGGGGCTGCATCCCTGTCCTGGGGCTGCATCCCTGGGATGGGACCTGGGGCTGCATCCCTGTCCTGAGGCTGCATCCCTGGATTGGGACCTGGGGCTGCATCCCTGGCCTGAGGCTGCATCCCTGTCCTGGGGCTGCATCCCTGGCAGCATTTCTGGCTTTCTCTTGGCAGCTGTGGAGGGAGTGTGAGCCCTGTGCAGAGCAGAGCTGGGTGTCCTCTCCCAGTGCTGCACACACAGCTCCTGCTCCCCAGCCTGGCCAGTGGCACCTGTTTGCCCAAGGCCAGGTGTGCCTGGCCCAGAAGGGGACTGTGCTGCCTGGCATGGAGCTGGAGCTGGAGCTGGGCAGGCATTTTTCTCCCAGCTCCATCCCTCCTCATTCCCCTGGCTCTGCAGGAGCTGTCTCTGAGCCCTGGTGGTGCCTCTGAGCCCTGGTGGTGCCTCAGCCCTGCCTCCCAGTGGGTTTGCTGTGCTGCCCAGAGAGCTCCCTGTTCTGTTCAGTGGAAGGATCCAGGCTGAGCTGGCTTTTTGGCTGGTGTTTGTGGCCTGGGACCCAGGGCTGCAGCACTCCCCAGGCCTGTCCAGTCTCGAGCTACAACCTGCCCACCTCCATCTTCCCTTTCTAGCCCAGGAACAGACAAATCTGTGCAGCAAGCCAGAGATTTAGATTTTCCTTTTTTGCTGCTGGCCCTGGAAGGCAGGTTCCTGGTTTTAGGGCTGTAACACATGGTCAAGCTGCAGATGGTCATGTTGTTTCTCACGCTCTTTTCTGGCTACTAAAGGTGCAGATAATTAATAAGAAGCTGGACTTTAGCAGCGTTCAATCCAAGTGTGGCTCAAAGGATAATATCAAACACATCCCGGGCGGAGGCAGTGTGAGTACCTTCACACTTTCAATGCTCTATCTCAGTGCTGATGATAACTGGCATGTTGTGTACACTGAACTGCCAATGCTATCTGCAGTGACCCTGCCAGCAGATAGCTATTGGTGACGTGCAATGACTCTTTTCTGGCTACCAAAGGTGCAGATAATTAATAAGAAGCTGGACTTTAGCAGCGTTCAATCCAGGTGTGGCTCAAAGGATAATATCAAACACATCCCGGGCGGAGGCAGTGTGAGTACCTTCACACTTTGAATGCTCTGTAATAATCCTGATTTTAGTGGCATGTTGTTACACTAATCACCAATGCTATCTGCAGCCACGCTGCTGTCACATAGCCATTGGGGACGTGCTGTCATTTAACCCTTTAACCCAAAAATGAACCCTAACGAGTCCTGGACATGCCTGCCATGGACAGAACTAACTGCCCCGTGTCCAAACCACGTCTGTAACCAAACATCCCAGCAACCCCAGGGCTCTGCACTGCCTGGAAGGCTGGAAGCCTCCCGGGCTGTGGGATGGGGCCCCTGGCACAGGGTGATGCAGGAGATGGGTAGGTTTATGAGCAGACCCAGTCCTCATTGCTCAATGTGCTGCTAAATTGGACATGATCCTGCCCAACATGTGAACGTGCCCGTTCCCATCAGGCAAGTATGATCCGTGCAAATATTAAGTTTCTCCTTGCTAATGAATGTGTCCAGCAGCGCCCACGGGGGCTGAGCCTGAAGTATTGTTGAGCTAATTGATTTGAACACTGGCATTTCCAGCTGTTCCCACATAAATACCAGACTCAGCTTTCAGTTACTGTGCCAGAAACCTGGAGAAACTCCACAGAGGTTGGTGGATTTACAGCTGGAGACAGTTTGGGTCCAGGAAAGATGCTGGGCTGAGGAAGGCACATCCCTGAGACCCCAGGCTGTGTCACTGGGGCTTGTGGGGCCTGCTCTGAGATGTTCCCCATGGATTTTCCTTGATCTCTGTGGACGCCCTCCCTTGGAAACTGAGCCTTGCAGAAGGCTTGGCAGGTGAACACAGGGACACAGCTGGCTTTGCAACCTCTGGCTTAAATTTGGTGTCACTCTGCAGTTCCTTCACAGGCCAGAGGAGCTGCTCTGCAGAGCTCAGACCCCTGTGAAGCAGTTCCATGGTTGTTCCTCTTCCTTACTCTGGGGTCCTGCACTGCCTGGGCTGCCCAGGGTGAGGTGGGCCAGGAGCTGGTGCTGGCCACGCATCCCTTGTGCTGTGGCTGCTGATGAGCTGGTCCCTTCCTCCACAGAGCTCACACCGTGGGCCTTTGCAGCTGCTCTGGGTTAAGAATTACCTGAGTGTTCATCTGGGGGCTGTGATCCCTCCCCAGGCCCTGCCAGAGTGAAAACCCCATGGGCTCTGCCTGGCTGCAGCAGCTCTGGGAGCAGGGCCTGGCAGGGGCAGTGTCAGTCTGTCCTGGGGCTCCTTGGGAGGGGGCAGCAAGAGACCCCAGGGCTTCAGAGGCCTTTGGACTTCAACCCATGGCAGCAGCAGCCCCTGCCCAGCCATCCCTGCTCCCAGAGGGAGCTGCCACTCCCTGGGCTTGGTGCCTGGGTTTTGAAGCCTGTGGATGCCCTGACCAGGGCATGCCCCAGGCAGGAGTTGGCCTTGGCATTGCTGATGCTGAGGGTGGGATCCCCAGGTCTCTGGCACTGCTTTCCCAGGCAAACAACTCTGTTCTCCTTTTCCCTTCTTGCTAAAATGGGGAGGATCCTTCTCTGCTCCCCAGCAGGATGGGAAGGGATGACAGAGTCCTGTCTGTCACAAAAGGGACTGGGAATGAGAGCAGAAAGTTCCAATTGCTGACTGCTTGTTCTGGAAACGAGAGGACTTTCAGTCCCAGGTCTCAGTGGTGCCTGAATTGCTGAGAGACCCTTCAGGGTCACAGCTGGCATTAGAAAGGCACCAGCTGCCCTTTTTGGGTCTGTTTCCTACTTTCCAACCAAATCCAGCTCCTCTCCTGCCCAAGTGCATTAAACATGTGACCTTTCCCTGCGCTGTCCCCACGTCTGTGTCCACGGTGTGCCCCCAGACCCTGAGGGGTTGCTTTTCTCCCTCTCTGTCTCCTGTCAAACGTGCCTCTTGGTCTGTGTGAGCAGCAGAGACAAGGCAGGTCAGCAGGGCTCTGTGCCCGGGGCTGTTGCTCCTGTTCCTGGCTCCAGGCTGGGGTCAGGGTTGTTTCTCAGGGCTGTGACAATCACTGAGGGTGCTGGGGCCAGGTGGGGACTGCAGGATGCACCCTCCCCTGGGGCATTTGGGTCAGCCCCAGTGCTGGGACGGGGAGCAGAGGCTGCAGTGGATCCTGGTGCTGGTCTGGGGGCTGCTGGCAGCAGTCAGCTCCTCTGCACAGCTCCCTTTGGTGCTGGCACATCCTCCTGGGGCTGCCGAGGGCATCACACTTGCCGTGCTGCCTGTGGGGAGCACAGAGAGCAGCAGATGCTCCTGGGGAAGGCCAGGCTGTCCCCAGAGCCAGCCTGAGGTGTGGATGATGCATTTTTCCTGCACAGCCCCACTCACCCAGCAGCAGCTGACCCTCAGGGGCTGGTGGGAGCCCCCAGCCAGGCTCCGGGGTGACCTGGGGGGTTCTGGGGCTGTTTTGTCCCCCTTGTCTCCTGCTCCTGCCGTAGCTGCCGTGTGTGTGCCTGCTCTGAGGCTCCTCCCTGGTGTGTGGCTGCTGCCCAGCCCTGCAGCCCCGTGCTGTCCCTGTGTCTGTCCCGTGTCCCCGTGTCCGTGCCACGAGCGCTCTGGGGACGGGGGGGATCCCTGCAATTGCTGGAGCCCACCTCAGAGACATCGTGGGCAAAGCACAGCGAAACAGAGCTTAAATGTCACAAAATGCTGTTGTGGTTCAATACTTTATAATTTTTATAATTGCCATTTTAATTTCTATGATGTGAACTCCAGATATTTCGATTTTGCTTTGCTTTTTTTTTTTTTTTTAACCCTTATTTTCGTTACAGCATTTTTCAGAAATGCATATTTTGGTCACTCTTTTGAAAGTTCTGTGCACATTGATCATTTCTGTTCTTTCAGTTTTTGTGGACATAAGCTTTATGTTTTACACCAGAAAAGGTATTTATTTTTTACGTTTTTCTCTCTGGTATATCTCCTCCTTTTGGATGATGTGTATGCAAATCTTAAATTAATTTACCACTCCACTTTCTCTCTCACTCGAGCACTTAAAAATTGCCTCTACTCCCCCCTCTGTGGAGAGGTGATCTCGTGCATGCTGACATGTTAAGAGGCTCCTGCACACGGGCATTAATGATCTCCCATTTCTGATGGCAGTTTCTTTGGTGTCATTAATCCTCCTGGGGCTGGAGCTGTCCTTTCCCTCCAATCCAGCTCAGGTGCTGCTGTGTGTTGTGCTCCCCCTCCCCAGCTGCCCGTGCTGGCCTCCAGCTCATCCCCTTCTCCTCTCTCCTACGGGCAGGTGCAAATCGTTTACAAGCCAGTCGACCTGAGCCATGTGACATCCAAATGTGGTTCCCTGGGCAACATCCACCACAAACCAGGTACCCTTGGGGCTCAGGGGGGTGGGAGAGGGGCAGAGGGCTGGGCAAGGGCAGGGGCTGAGGGGAGGCAGTGACTGGAGCGCCCCAGTGAGCCCTGCAGTGCTGGGTGCTGCTCCCAGCTCCTGAGCCGCCTCTCGCGCTTCTCCTGCAGGTGGTGGCCAGGTGGAGGTGAAATCTGAGAAACTGGACTTCAAAGATAAGGTGCAGTCGAAAATTGGGTCCCTAGATAACATCAGCCACGTCCCTGGAGGGGGCAATAAAAAGGTAAAGGGGCCCTGGGGACAGGTGTGTGCTGCTGTGGGTGTGAGGGGACAGGGGACAGAGCAGTGGCACTGCCCAGGATGGATCCTGAGTGAGCACGAGCCTGTGACAGCCTCTGATGTGGTTTCCTGCTCTTTCTGCTGCCTCTGGAGTTTTCTGTGTCTCAAACCCTTCCCACCAAGTGTCACCATCAGCGAGCCCCGTGCTGTGCTGCTGCTGCTGCTGCTGTGACACCGAGCTGGCAGCTGCAGAGGTGTTGGATCCCCAATGAAAGTGGAGCATTAAAGGCTCAGCTTTATTTAGAGCAGGTGACTTTGCAGCAAACTGGCCCTTCAGAAGGTGATTTCTCCTTCCTGACCCAGGGCTCTGTGAAGGGAGGGCAGTGTTGGGGGGTTAAAGTGAGACACAAAAGGCACTCGGGTCAGGGAAGTGAGCTGGGGCTGAGCTGTTCCCACCAAGGCTTTGATGGTGACTTCAGTGAGTCTTGGCCAAGTAAAACAGCCCCACAGCTGGGCTTCAAGGCCACCAAGTCCCCAGCAGGCAGGGGGGTGAGGACATCAGGTAAGCACGGAGCTGAGACTCCAGCCTGGCCACACACAGGGTTCAGCTTCCCCGGGGAAAAGTGGGTTTTATCTTGCTTGTTTTTGCAGCACTTTTGTCTCAATGGGAGGGGAAGGTTCTGTTTCAGCTCCTGTATTTTGGCACTTTGTTCTTGGCCACGTGCTCTCTGTGCAGCTCCAGCTCTCACCTCCAGCTGGCCTCTGACTGCGGGACCGCTTGACTTCCTTACCCTTCTCTCTGCCGTGCATCAGCTCCCCTGTGCTTCACTGAGCCTTTTGCCATGGGTTTTGTGATCCAGTGATGGCTCTGGCACATCCTGGCACATTCACTGGGCCATAGTTTGAAGAACTTGCCCTCCAGGGGAGTTTCTCTGCAAGGCTTTGACCCAGCAGTGGCATCACCACCTCAGCCTTCCAGCCTGCTTAGGCTGCCTCTCCCCTGCCTAAACCCAGCCTGGAGGAGGTTCTGGGTGTAACTGAGTCCAGGTGCAGCTCTGCTGCCCCTTTCACATGTCCCCAAGCCCCTCCTTGCTCTGTGACACACAGATCCACACCGGGACTCACAGTCCACAGCTCTTTAGGCTGAGCTCTGGTTCCTGTGCTGGGTGTGCCGTGGGGAGCTGGGTGCTCTGTGCTCTGCCCAAGTCCCTGTGCTCTCCTGTGCTGTTCCTGGAGTTTTCCCCCTGGCTCCAAAGGCAGCCACTCTTCTTTCTATGAGTCAGTGAATGGCCCTGTTTTTCAGATCTTTTTCTCCCCAGTTTTCTATTTCTTTTCTATATTTTTTGTCTTTTTCCTTCTGGCTGGCATTTCTTGGATCATGGTTTTTGTTGCTGATGCATTTTTTGCCCCCCACTGCCCTGGGTGGGTTTCTTCACCTGTAGAGAGAGAAAGGCAAGGAAGACAAGACCTGGACCCCGAGCCCAGACCCCGCTGGGCTCCAGGCCGTGGTGCTGGAGCCACTCAGCCCCATGGAGAGCCAGCCCCCAGCCTTGCACTCGGCTGGGGAGGGCACCTGTAAGTAGCAAAGCAGATCCAGTTCAGCGGGAGAGGGGTTTGGCTCCTGGGAGCAGCAGTGTGGGCTAAGGGGAAGCTTCACATGCCACGTCCCCCCATGATCTGTGCCAGGGGAGTGGGAGCAGCCCAGGTTGTGCCCTCTGCGTTCTGGGACCCAGGACCTCACCTGGGGAGGATTTGGCAGCATCCAGACGCTCAGGTCCTGCTGTTGCCTCTGGTGCCTGGGACATGCTGAGGCCTGGGGACTCTGGGTCGCTGCTCTGAGCTCTGCTGCCACCTCCCAGCGGCCGTGTCTGAGCGCGCACCTGGCAGGTCCCCCTGTCCCCGGCCATGCCCCTGAGCGCCCTCCTCTCCCTCACAGATTGAGACTCACAAGCTGACCTTCCGCGAGAACGCCAAAGCCAAGACCGACCACGGCGCCGAAATCGTCTACAAGTCCCCCACCATCTCCGGAGATGCCTCCCCGCGCCGCCTTAGCAACGTCTCCTCCACCGGCAGCATCAACCTGGTGGACTCCCCCCAGCTGGCCACGCTAGCCGACGAGGTGTCCGCCTCGCTGGCCAAGCAGGGCTTGTGATCGCGGCGCGGCGGCCACCAGGAGAGAAGACAAGGAAAGGAAACGAAAAAGAAAAGAAACAAAAATAATAATCTGGCCTTCTTCCTCTGTTCCTTTTACAGCTGCTTCCCCGTCCCTAACTGGTTAATGATTTAACCTGCTTTTACTGTTCATTCAGCTCTAGCTCCAGGACTTCAAAATCAGTGACACTATGAGGTACAAAACCTCCTCTCCCCCTGCTCCTCGGAGCGCACAGCCCGTCCCGTCGCGTCCCCGCGCTCCCCCTGCTCCTGCCCTCGCTGTCCCAGCCCTGCCCGGGGCCCCCCGGCGAGGCGGGGAGGGGGCCCGAGGGGCGGCCACAGCACGACGCTGACCCGAGCACCCCGCACCAGCACAGGGCAGCGGGTGGCCCTCCCGGGAAGGGGCTGTGACCTGGCCCAGCTCGTGTCCTGCCGCTGGCCGGGCTGGGTGCGCAGCCAGGGCTGCGGGGAGGTGCCCTCCCTCCCTCCTTCCCCGCGTTAAATTTGCCTGCTGATTTGGAAGAAACCTTTTGTTTTTATTTCCGAAAGCCGAGATGTGTATGAAGATAACGGCCCCCTAACCCGCTCTCAGCTCCGGCAGCTGGAGTCCCGGCGAGGCCGGGTGCCCGCTCCGAGGGGCCCCGGGCGGCCGTTCCCCTCTCCGTGGCTGTGCTGGAACCGCTGAGTGGATGAGTAGAGGCTTTTCCCCATTCCTTTGGCAGCCCCTCGTGTCGTAGAGTAGATTTGTCTGTATATGCTTGGACCGTGCCAGGGTGATTGTTTTCATAAACGAGCATGTGTTTGAAAAATAAATGCTGTAAGTAGTTTTGAGCTGCCCCGCGCCGGCTCCGCCGCAGCCCAGCCGGGGGCCCGGGGAGCTCGGGCGGCTCCGGCCGTGCCCAGCCCCGGTGCCGCAGGAGGAGCCCGGCACCGCATGTCTGCCGGAGGAGGGGCACCCACAGCTCCAGGGCTGGGATGGCTCCTGGATTTGGGTGCAGCTTGTGACATTTTTGGGTTGTTCTTTTTCTTTCCCTGCAAGGTCAGCTCAGCGATGGCGGAGGTGGCAGCTCCATGGCTCTGCTGTGCCGGTGGCAGCGGTGAGACCCCGGCCGGACGCGGGGGAGGCGGCAGCAGCTCCCCCAGCCCGGGGCCAGCGGCTGCTCCCTGGCACTGAAGCCCCTTTGCGGGCGCTCCCCGGTGTGAGTTGGCAGCACCTCACCCCTCACACAGCACTGACCACCCCAGCACACTCGGGGACAGGAGCCAGTCGAGTTATTGCTTTGGCTGCTCTTGTTCCTGTGGCTCCCTGGGGAGCACGAGGAGGTCCCGTGGCTGTCCCTGCCTGCCCCTTCCCTCTACAACCAAAGAGGCCGAGATGCCACCAGTGCAGCTGTGTGTCCTCCTGCCCTGTCTCCCCCAGGGGCCCCAGCCGAGCTCTGGGGGTTCAGCTGGAGCTGGGAGGGCAGAGGGGGCCCCTGCACCCCCGGGCTGTGCTGCAGGGAAAGCCGTGCTTTCCCAGCAAGGGCTGCAATCCTGGTCCGACAGGGCTGGCGGGGGGTCAGGGCCCCTGGTTGTCCTTGGGGTGGTGGCTGGGTGCCACCAAGGCTGCCAGAGCAGCTGTTCCTGGGCAGAGCAGCAATTCCTCCCCGGACAGGACCTGTGGGAGCTGTGAGCCCCCTCTCTCTCGCCCCTGTCCCTCTGCAGGGCTGGGCTGCCGCAGGCCTGGCTGTGGATGGACATGGTCTGGGGGTCCAACCCTTCTCTGTGCAGCCCCAGGAGCTGCTTTATTGCTGGGGAGAGGCTGGTCCAGCAGCACCATCGTGTCCAGCTTGTCACTCGCTCCGTTCACTTGACTCCATGATTGTAAGACTCTGTGCTCCGTCCCTGACTCTGTAGCGCTGTAGGAGCCGCCGCGCTTTTTGTCCTCTGTAGAACGAGCAAGTTGGGAGAACCCTCAAAGCATCACCTCCTTACCCCTCTGGGCTGCAGGACAGGGTAGCTGAGCTCACCCGTCCTGTGCCACCCCTGTCCCCTCCGTGCAGCCCCTGAGGGACACCAGCACCCAGGGTGGGATGGCCTCGGTGTGCAGCGAGCTCCAGTGAGCAGCCCCTTCCTACTCTGAGTGTCCTCAGCCCCGGCTGTTGTCCCCCCGGGGGCTGTGGGGTGCCAGGACAGCCCTTTACAGCCACCACGTCACCCGCTGTCCCCTCCAGCAGCCCGAGCCACGTCCCCTGCCCCAACCCTGCCTTCAGACCCAGGCCCGAGGGTCTGGTGAGCAGCCGGACAAAACCCGACCCCCGGCTTCTCCTTTACTCCACACACATCTTGGGTCTGAAAAGGGTTAAAACCGGCACTGATTTAAAAAAGAAAAAAAAAAAAGAATCGTATTTCTGCACTCCAAAAGATTCTGCGTGTTAGCCAAGGTCGGTGCCAGCCTGTGTGGTGTTGGCAGCCCCGTGCCCCCCGCGCCGCGCCGGGGAGGGGAGGGAAGGTTTGATCTCAGTGTATCATTCTAGCTTAGCTTCTGTCTGTGGGTGTCCATAGTGTATCGTGTGTTTAACAACTGGTTTACACTGTTGCCGTAAAAGTGAATTTGGAAATAAAGTCATTACTACGATAATGATAATTGGCACCTCTTTTGCATGGGGGGATGTGGGGTGGGGGATCCATCCAAAGAGTCATCGACTGGGGCAGCACCGAGGGGCAAGGACTGGGTTGCAATTTTTTACTTTTTAAGCTCCCACGCTTCTTCCTGGGGCACAGAGGGGTGCAGGAGGGGTGACCCTGCCTGCCAGAGCCAGGAAGGACACAGCAGTGCTTCCCTGGATGAGGACCAGCAGCACCCAGTTAACCCGAGAAATGTAAAATAACCCCCAGCCCAGGGGTTCCTCCTCTGGCTGACAATAACTGCTGGAAAATAACATCACACAGGAAAAAGAGGCCACTGAAACACAGGAGGGAAGGAGTTGATCTGAGTGCACTGAGGGCCCCTTCCCAGTCTCAGCCCAGCCTTTCACACTCATCAAATGGAATATTACATTTTAATTTTTTTTTTAATCTTTTCTTCTTTTTTTTTTTTTTATAAGCACATTTGTGCTTTGCCAACAGAATCAAGACATTAACAAAGATCAGCTTCTCGGAAGAAAAGCATTTCTATATAACAAGGACATTACACAGCTCAAAGCAGGAAAAGAAAATATTTACAAAATACAAGGTGGGTTTTTTTTTTTTGTGTGGTTTTTATAATGCTAAAAGGGTTATTCAGAATTTTCAACCTTATAAATAGAAAAGCACTTCTGCAGAGGGATATGGTAGCGCCGTTGTTTGTTGGGTTTTTGTTTTAAAGAAACGATGACGGATCCTTTAAACTAGAACAGAACCAAAACCACGAGATCATGTTGAAAATTGTGAAAACCCCGACCATGAAGCAGTTCAGCGACTATTTCTTTACGATTACAAAATGGAGAAAAAAAAAAAAAAAAAAAAAAAAGTCCTTTGTAATTTTTTTTTTCCCGTTTTTTTTTTGTTTTTTTTTTTTGGTGATGTGATTATACATAAGACAGGCACAATGCTAGCAACAGGACAGGGCCCAGGAGCCACACCGTCGGGACCGGGAAGCGTGACAATGGTGGGGACGGTGCGCGGGGTCCGGGATCGCTGCGGGTGCGGAACCGGGCGGGAGGGGACGGGGAGGAACAACAAACTGGGGCTCAAACTCAAATACCTGTCAGGAGGGGGCACGGCGGGCGCCCCGAAATGAAAGGGAACCGGCACCGGAGCTGGGACGGTGCGGGAGTGGAGCGAAGCTGCGGTGACCCCAGGCGGGACCGGGGTGACCCTGATGCCCCACCAGGAGCTGCCTCCAACCTTCCCTCTCTGCCCCCTGGTCTGACACAAACCCACCTGCGGGACCCCCGGCCCGGCCGCTCCTCGCTCACAGCTCCCCCAGCTCCAGCTGAACAGCCTCACCCCAAAGGGCATCCAAGTGCTCTGGGAATTCTGCTCAAAGCATCGGGGGCTCTTCCCCTCCCTGCCCTCACCACACACCAAGTGTGCACAAGGTGCTTCCCAACTCCCACCTCTGCCACACCAAGCTGAGTGTGGAGCAGCCACAAGGTCCCTCCTTTCCCCCTGCCAGGAAGGCAGCCAGAGCCATGGCTGCTCCAAACCAGGGGAGAAGGAAGGGAGAGGTGTCCCCAGGGGCAGAGCAAGGATCAGGGAGGGACAGAATCCCCCCCTTTGGATACCTGGAACTACAACCTGGGGCAGGATAACGCAGGAGGGTGAAGTGCAGGTGGGCACTCTGCAGGTGAGGACAGCCAGACAGTGAAGGTTGCAATCCCAAGACATCACTTTTCACCACTAATTTCACTCCACTAAAACCTTTCAGGGTGGGGGGAGTGGGTTAAGAGAAAACGACACCCTTTTGGTGGGAAAAACTATCCCCGAAATCTGCTAGTCAGCTAAATCCTGTGCTCTAGTTTTATACACCTAAAGGAGGGAGGAAAGGGGAGGGGGTCTGGTGGGCTGCTCCCCTCCCGAGGCTTCACTCCGCTGGGAGGAATCTGGGGGCTCATTCATGTGACGAGGAAACATGGAGAAGGAAAAAAAAAAAAAAGAAAACAAAAAGAAAAAGAAAAAAAAAAGAAAACAAAAAACAGTTTCTAAACTCCTTAAATTCACTAAAAACTGTGAAAATTCCCGGCAGGATGTTTGAATATCAAACGCAGATTTTGGAAGCTTTAATGCCAAGAGTTAGTTCTGTGTGTTGGTTTGCTCATGTCTCCCCGTGTGTCTCTATCTGTGCGCTGGCCGCAGGACTGCGGAGCAGGAGGAGGAGGAGGAGGAGGAGGAGGAGGAAGAGGAGGAGGAAGAGGAGGAGGAGGAGGGGGGGGCCAGCGGGGCTCGGCTCTTGAGGCTGGGCAGGCTGGGCGAAGCCGAAGTGCCATCGCATTCCCGGGAGGATTTGCTGCCCGACGTGCGGCGGGTGCAGCGCGAGAGCCGGTCCTGGGGGTCGGGCTGCTCCTCGCACTCCGTCCGGGGGTCGTAGGAGAGCGGGAAGGTGCGGCGCTCCCAGGGCTGCACGGCCTGGGGGAGAGACAGGAGTCACGGAAATACCCAGGAAATCCCTGCAAAAGCCTCCTGTCCTCACTCCCCGCACGGATCCGGAGCTCAGAGCTGCTCCTGGTGCGGGTTCCCAGCTCGGAGCAGCGCCCGGGAAGCTCCAGCAGATGTGGAGAGGACACGGAGGCAGCTGCTGGCAGCGCTTCCCATGCCCTGATCCCACCCGGGCCAGCGCTCCAGCACTGCCCACAGGCAGCTGCCAGGCTGCTCCCCACACCAGGGTCACCTGTGGTGCCACACCTGTGTCCCCACACCATGGCCACCTCTGGTGCTATGTCTGCCTCCCCACACCAGGGTCACCTATGGTGTCACACCTGTGTCCCCACACCAGGGTCACCTGTGGTGGCATGTCTGCCTCCCCGTGCCAGGGTCACACCTGTGTCCCCACACCAGGGCCACCTATGGTGTCACACCTGCCTCCCCACACCAGGGTCACCTGCAGTGCCACACCTGTTTTCCCCACACCAGGGTCACCTGCAGTGCCACACCTGTGTCCCCACACCAGGGTGACCCGTGGTGTCACACCTGCCTCCCCACACCAGGGTGACCCGTGGCGTCACACCTGTGTCCCCACACCAGGGTGACCCATGGTGTCACACCTGTGTCCCCACACCAGGGTCACCTGCCCTGGCCACAGCCAGCACCCACCTGCTCGTCCAGGCCGGCCTCGGGCGTGGAGCACCGCGTGTCCTCGCTGGACAGGAGCCGCAGGGAGTCCCGGGACAGGGGGGTCAGGGGGGCACAGAGCAGTTCAGGGCTGATGGGGCTGCGTGGTGAGTGGGTGTGGGACAGCTCCAAGTGGGAGTGGTAGCTGCCCACCTCAGGGGATGCTGGCTGGGGAGTTGAGGGGTTCCCCAGCTGGGGAGTCGTCCGTCCGTCTGTTGATCTGTAGGACCTGAGACAGGAGCAGGTTTGAGAGCCCGGCCATGCTCCCCCCCTGGTGCCTGATCCTACCCCAGGATCCTTTTGCCCTGATGGGAACACGAGCAGGGAATGCCACAGCCCAGAGACAAAATCCACCCAGGCCCATCCCTGTCCCCTTTCAGTGTCTGGGTGCATCACTGATGCTGCTCTCCTGTGGTTCCATGTCCCACACATCTCCTACACTCCCAGTGCTGCACAAACTCCATGGTGAGAAGCTCCCTATGGAATCAAGATACTTCCAAGTGTTTGCCCCTCCTCACACCAGGTCACCCTTGGAAGCAGCTCAGGGACTGAGTGCAGGAATCAGCAATGCTGGAAATGCAGCAATTTCAGCAGCTGGGAGTGGGAGGAGCACAGTGAAATCCCAAGACCTCAGATTTCAACCAGGAATTACAAAAGTATGAGCTCTGACACAGAGTCCAGATAAAAACCCACAAGCTACAAGCAGAGAAATATAACTGAGTTCCCAAATCCACATGCAACTTTCCAAGATGAACTACAACAGCAAGTGGCCATCAAGGACTTCAGAGGTAAGAAATGGGCTAAAGAAACAGCAAAACATCCCAATCTCCAGGAGCATTAGGAACTGAAGCTGCAGAGGAAACAGGGCAGCAGCAGCAGCACGAGGAGGGTTTGCCACAGGCCAGGTTTGCACCTGCAGGAACCCCCACAACGGCAGGAACCAAAACCAAAGCAGCATCAAGGGCAGGGACAGAGCTGTGGGTCTGCCCCAGAACAAAGTGACTTCAGGCAACCAAATCCTGGTGATGGAACTGAAAAGAGCAAATCTCTTCTTGAGCAGGTTTATGATGAGATCAACAGCTGGAAACAGTGGTGGTTTTAGACACCCACTCATAAAGACACAGCAGAAAGGGAACTGAGTGCCCAGTGCCAGTGTCCCTGATCCTGCAGGAATGATGCCATTGCCAGCCCTGTGCCTTACCCTGGACTCTGGGCTGGCACAGCATCTCCCACACTTCTGGAACAGCAGAAATGCTTGAGGAAGCATTTGGTGCAGCTGTCTGCAGCCAAACTGGGCTGTGGCTTCACCCCCACCTAAGCAAGGCTGTGCCCCCTCCCACCTGGGCTCCTCCAGCTGGATGACGCCAAACTTTTCAACACCAGCTTTCAGCCATTTGTAGGAATCCCCAGCTGCTCCCAGGAGCACCCCAGTGCTGGCAATGTGGCCCTGAGGGCAGGGCTGTACCTGCTGCCCCGGCGCTGAGGGGGGACACTCGTGCTCCAGAGCCACCGCGCCCGCTCCATCTCCTCACACTTCCCGTGCCGAGCAGCAAAGGCTGAGTCTGACAAGTCCTCAACCTGGGAAGGGAAGGGCAGAGGGCTTGGTCAGAGCTTTCTTCTTTAAAACAATCATCTCTGTACAGTTTTGCCAGCACTAGTTGCAGTGAGAAATTAAATGTTATCATTGAGTTGTAGGATGTCCTGAGTTGGGAGGGACCCAACAGGGATCATCCAGTGCAGCTCCTGGCCCTGCAGAGACACCCCAACAATCCCACCCTGTGCCCCAGAGCATTGTCCAAACACTCCTGGAGCTCTGGGAGCCCTGGAAAGGAACCA